TTTTTTTTTTCTAGATTCCTGCCGTTTGTTCATCGTTGTGCCTAAAGCATGTCGATGTGGCGTCAAGTACATCGTCCAAATCCCTGTCTCTTCAGCTTCTCTGACGCTTGAACTCTCACCTTTGACCTTGTGTTGACCTTTGATGCTGACATGATTTTTATTATGTTTGTTGTTTGTTTTTTCTTTTTCTTTCCTTTTTTTTTCTTTCGTGCTGCCAAATTGGTTTTGCTAGAACGACTGCTGAAGGGGAAATATTTAAACTTGCATTTGAATATAAAAAAAATCTATTTTTCTAGAACTTCATAAGATAACCACTTGATTTTGTGATTCCAATTCTTTGTAATTGTCTTCAGAGCAGCCCTACTAGCACATACCGCGTGGTGTTTGTATTTCTGTGAACACACAAGCCAGTCCGTTTCTAGGCTTTGTTTCTCTGTGTGCTTAGTTTTAAAGACAACTTTGAAGTAAACAATGAAATAAAAGATGTCACTAAAACCTTTGAGGCTCCTGAGCACATTTTGCTGATCTAGTTTGTGGGGCTGAAGGACACTGCATGTGTTCTTTTTGTTTTTCTGAGTTCTCAACTGCAGAAAACACCTGAATCCCTTTTCCTTTTTGACAGCAGGCTGCAGTTTGGGCCCTAGCCAGTCCTTTTCTTTTTCATTTGTGGTTATTCCCTGTAGCAACCCTGCAGGGAGCCTTCTTTTGACCCCTTCCCCTCAGTCCCACTGCAATTGTTCCTACAGTCTCCACAGCAAAATGTGATGTTTTGATTTTTTGTTTTGTTTCTATATTGCTTTTGTTTTTGTTTTGAATTTTTCCTTTCCTACTAAGATTATGCCCAGAAAAAAAAAGTTTTGCGTGTTTCCTGCTGTTTCCTCACACCTTCGTATATATCACCTTCATCTCTCTTGTTTTCTATAGTTTGTGCAAAAACTGACTGATTTAATAGGGTTTCAAGGAAGCTGTTTTAAATTGTGGGGTTATTTTTTTTCAAGATTGTATTTTGTTTTGAAGCGGCAACTTCCTCCTCTCGTGCCCTTAGATCATTTGCCTGTGCACTTAGACTGTCACCTCATGTGGCCTCCAGGCCTCAGCAGGTCCTCCAGCGAGGCTGGCTGCTCTGTGCAGAGACGGTTGGGAAGGCCTGGAGAGGCATGAAGAGCAGAGATAGAACCCAGAAGGTGGCTGCAGGTGGGCAAGAGGCCTAGCGCATCAAGGGTAGTGAGCATCCCTCGGCTCAGAGGAAGCAGAGTGCTCTTAATCATTCAGAGGCCATCTGTGCACTAAGCCGCAATATACCTGCCAGCGCTTTTCCTACGTGACAAGCACAATACTACAGTCTTCACACTGTTTACAGCCCTGGGCACCAGCCACCCCACACTGGCTCTTCACTGCACCTCTGCTCCTGCTTAGATAGTGGGTGGGGTTAGGGCTGGGATTTGTTTGTTTGTTTGTTTTTTTAATCGGGTGAAGAGCCAAATAGCTACTGTCCTTGGGTGCCAGACAAGCCAGTTCTTTGGTTCCCTTAGGGCACTCTTTGGTTCTTGTGGCACCCCATCCAGCCTCAGGGTCTTAGGGACTAGAGTAAGAATGTGAATGGCAAAGGGAGAGGCCAGAGGAGATCAGAGGTCGCAGGATGGATCTGTGGAGGTAAGAGGTTGCAGAAGGAATTTGTGTAAATCCCACCCAGACCTAAGCTGCTGGTGGGTGGGAGAGCTGGGGAGTAGGATTGTCCAGGGAAGGATAGAGAGGGATAGCTAAGGGACTGGGGGGAGGGGGGTGGGGAAGGTAGAAGCACTGTTGGTTGGCATCATCCATGCTGGGGTTGATGAAGGAAGGGATCCCAGCAGAATTTCTGCTCTGGGACCCAGTAGGTTGTGTAGTATTACACTCGAGGCCACTCTTCTAGGAGGAAAGGGTGGCCAAAGGGAGCCAGTGTATGGTAGGCTGCTTCATTTCCTGGAAGGGGTGATTGGATGGAAAGAGGCCAGGAACCCCAGCCTGAGTGAGACTGCCGTGCACCCCACAGTCTGACTGCACAGAGCCGCCTCTATTAGCAGAGGTGCTGAGGCTCTCCTTCCTGTGTGTTCAGAATCCATGTTTGCCAATACAGTTTGCTTTCAATTCCAAGAGGAGCTCTGGGAAAACCTGTGGATAAAACCAAATGCCAAACGTTGGATATTGTTTCCTTTTCCTTTTTCTCTCTCTCTGATGTTTTAATTGTTCTGTGGTGATTTTAATGGATTTGAGACCCTGGAGCGGCAGCTGCCTTTCTGATTTCCAGCTGCTTTTTGTGAATAATTTAAAAAGAAAAAAAAAAGAAACTTTACATTTTGGAGACAAACCTGTGTGAGTTTTTTATTGGTACAAACGTATTTAACACTAGGGGTTTTGTACAGTTTTTTGCCTTTTCTACTAGAAAACAATGTAAAGTGATTTCACAATGTGAAGAGAAAAAAAATCGCCACTATGACCAAACGCACAGTCTGTTCTGCAGCAACAATGGGATTCAATCAACTCAAAGTCGTGATTCAGCCGTAGAAATGCTTTCCCTTTACCTTGTTTGAGCTTCTCCTTTCTTTCCTGTTTTGATTTGCAAAAGAAAATGTCTTTTTTGTGTGAACTTGTGTTGTACTACGTAGAAAATTATGGATTTTACTTTAATGGTTAAAAAAAAAAAGGCAAGAAGAGCCCTTGTCGCTTTTCTGACCTGATCACAGAGTTTGTGTAGTGGATTAAAAAAGGAAAAAAAATTGTTACAAGTTTGGAGGAGGGAGTATGTGTTTAAAAGGAAATCTTCCTTCTTTTGTGTGTTTTTCCTTTTATTCCAATGGGAAACCTTAATCTATTTTAATTGCACAGACACACAGACAAAAAGTCATTTTGTATCTGCCAAGTGTGGTACCTTCCTTTGTTTATTTGCTATTAAACTGTTTGAGAAAAACTGATGTTGTCTCCAGAGTTATTGACTGTTGGGGTGGGCAGTGGCTCCTCGGGGCTGGTGGAGTTGGTGGTATTCCTGAAGCAAGGGCAGGTGCCTTTGTAAGGTTTCATCTTGATGTACCTGTTGGTAGGCAGTTGAACCCATCAGAGGCTCCTGAAAGAACAGTTTCTCCCAGAAAACTGCCTTCTCCATCGTCCTGTGTTCCTCTGCACCTTCCCTGCTGATACAGAAGCACCTTCAGACTTTGTGGGCAGCCCTAATTTTTGTGCTTCTGTTTGCAGTAGTTGCTGCCATGCTGCAGAATTGGCCCACACCTATGAGTACAATTCCCTTTCCTGAGGTGTGGATGGAGTTCCTGTGGCCACCCCAATCATGGAACTCTTTCTTGCCAGGCTTTTAATGCTCTGGCCTGAAGTTGTACAACTCCTTTCCCCCTCCTTCTGTCCTCACAACAGGGTCACAAAAGGGCATTTCTAAAATTCGTTGGGTTTACTATTCAGTAATTCTAGGTCACTCTCCCAAGTGAGGCCCTATACCTGGACCTCCTCAGACCTCTGAACTGCAGACTGAGCTACTGGACCAGGAATCTCAGGCCCCCTGGCCCAGGTTATCAGCTTATCTGCTCTTCACCTGTTCCTTTGCAGCCACTGCCATCCTCACGCCCGGAGGCCAGTCCCTGTGAAGCTGGTGCCTGTCTGGAGGCACATGGCCAGGCCTCCAACTTCCCACTGGAGCCCCTCTTCATGGGATGTGTCTGCAGTAGCACTGCCATGTGGGTGTGAGTAAGAGTATGAGCCCATACCTCTTCCTGTGAGGACAGGAGAGCTTCCTGAATGGTGCTCCTGCCATGAGGCTCTTTCCTAGATCTGGTACTACCTACGTTGTTCTTTACCTAATGTTTATTCCAAATTTTTCATGGTGATAGCATATAAAGTTTTCTGTTTTTAGGTGGACAGTTCAGTGGATTCAATACATTCATAATGTTGTACAACCATCACAACCTAATGTTTTAAATTAATGTGAAATGCACCTTTTTCAATGTCACCTCATTTGACCATTAATATTCATGAAATCACAAGTTTGATATCCTTATTATGTTTTAAAATACACATTAAGGTACATAACTATCAGTATATATAAAATGTCTGTTGGTTCCTCCTCAGAGAGGTCTGCATTGCACACTTTGGGAAATTGGGCTAAGTTGGGGAGTTGGGCGTCCTCCCTGGACTCCTCTCCTGGACCTGTTTATTTTGGTTGGACATGATATTTCCTGCTATCTATCACAGATTTTCTGTGACTCAAGATCACAGTGGCAAATTTTTTATGTGTTTGCCTCAGGATTCCTGTGTTCCTGAGATGGAACTTGATATAAAAATAGAATGTCAAGTACAATTTGAATATCATCCAGTTTAACATGTTAAAGGCTGTTGTTTCTCTTTAAAATTTACAAAAAGGAATATGCCAGAAATACTGTTTTGAACCTTTAAAAATATTGAGGCAGTGCATCTTTATAATCTCATAGCTGTAGCTTAATTGAACTGCTTGTATTCCTTTTAAAAACCTATATGCAGTCACCTTGTATTTGTGAATAGATTGCTCAGCACCTAATTTTTGTTGAAGTCCTTGTTGCCAGCACACTGCTGAAGCAGCCTCTGTACTACTTCCTTGGTCAGCATACAGCTCCCCTCTCTCCCAGATGCTTTACGTACTGTGCTCACCTGAGCAACTCAGTGTCTGATGAAGGAAAGTCACTGGGAAGGAAATGAAAGACCAGGTTTGTCCCTTCACCTCTGGGAATGTCAAACAGCATTGTCCTTCCAAGAGGGATCATGGATGGCTTTTTCTTGAACTTTCTGCCTTTTTTAAGCATTTTCTTTCTCTCAGGAGGCCTTTCCAATCCCCACCGTGTGGTGTTTATTTTGCATACAGTGACTTTCTCTACCGGTAAAGGCTCCAACTATGGAGGTGGGGCAGGTGGGAGAGGCTCTTGCTTTTTTTTAATTAAAGTCAGAGTCTTGGGATGGGAAATTGAACACATTTCAAGTGGGAAGGCTGCCCTGCAGCCAAATCCACGGGACTTCACCCTTACCTCCATCCTTTCCCCCGAGGGGGTCCCACTGACCTGATGCCTCTTTGAGGTTTTGGTGTTTTTAAACCACTTGATAGAGATGTAATTCACACACTATACAATTCACTTATTTAAAGTGGATAAGTCATTCGTTTTTAGCATTGTGCTACTATCACCACAACCGAATTTTAGAACATTTTCATCACTACCAAAAGAAACCCCATACTCAGGAGCAATCACTCCTCTTTTTCCACCCCCACCCTACCTTTCTGAGCCGTTGGCAGCACTGATCTTTCTGCTCTATAGATTTGCCCGTTCTGAGCTGGTCATAGAAACACATACACTGTGTGCCTTGTATGTGCGGTTTACTTAGCCTACCTCCTGAGGCATGTTCTCCTTTCTACCCCCTTGACAACTAGTCACAGCACCAGCCCTGAACCACCCGTTTCTGCCATTCCTAGCCTTTCTCAGCTTGTCACCTCACAGTCCAGAGGTGTTTCCTCAGTGCCCTGGCCCTTCTGCTTCTCCCAGCAATTCCTATTTACTTATTGCATCATCTGCCTCACCCTGAATCTGGCACTCCTCTAGACCTGCCTGCATTGTGCAGCACAATTCCTCACTAGCTACTGTAGCTATTTAACTTACGTTTAAAAAAAGTATTCCTCAATTTAACTATGAAGCTACTTCTAACTAGAGGCTACCATTGGGCAGTGGATAGCATTTCCATCATCAGTCAGTTAACGGTGGTCAGGACTATCTAGATTGTTACGTTGCTTTTAAGAAGACATAGCCACCATTTATGAATTGTAGTCACTGTACTAGTGCAACTGGCAGCCTAGAAAGGTAGAAGGTGAGGCACAAGAAGCTGCAGTTCCTCTCTGTCACATGGCTGTAGCAGTCCAGGGCAGCCTGCCTCCAAAGTCCCTGAAGGGCATATTCCTTCAGGATTGTCTGGTGGACCTTGGGTGCCCTGGTTTAAATTCCCCTTCTAGAATATAGCTTCATGAAGGGAGGGATCGTGTATGTCTTTAACCTCACTGGAACCCCAAGGGCTGGCAGACACGTACTCAGGAAACATTTAGTGAGTGAGTAAGTAAATATCAAAAGATGACAGTTGCTTTTGTGCCAAGAGTTTCCTGGTATGTTTTTGGGGTTTTTTTCCCCTCAACATATTAGTTTTCTGTAGAGATTTCCATTCACTCCAGAAGAAAGGGAATAACTTATTTTCACACCTCGTTTATAGATTGCTAGTTAGCAGCCAGTACTTGAACTCTCCTTAGGCCCTCAATCGCAGCGAAGCAGAAATGACAGCCAAGTTCCACAGAGCCACTTTACAGGAAACCTGCTAATTCAGCTTCCCAGATGGCCCACCAGGGGACCTCCTTCCTGGAGCACTGCTGCTGGAGAGCCCCTATGGCAGTCAGGGGAAGCCCTGAGGGACCGGAACCTACCTGTGGCCCTTCAGCCCTAAGAGTGCCACTGACGTGGTCATCCCTAAAGTGGAATGTGCCCAGAGCCTGAAGCTTACATGACACAACAGGCTTTTAAGTCATTTTATTTAGAGTTCGGGTTTTTTAAATGCAAAACATTCATATGCAGGTAAACCTCATTTTACTGCACTTACCAGATACTGTGTTCTTTACAAACTGAAGGTCTGGGGTAGCCGTGCGGTGAGTGAGTCTGTTGTCACTGTCTTTCCAACAGCGTTTGCTCATTTCATGTCTCTGTCGCATTTTGACCGTTCTCACAAGATTTCAAAATTCTTCATTATCATATTTGTTAACAGTGATCTGTGATCAGTGATTATGACTTGCTGAAAGCATAGGTGATTTTTAGCATTTTTTAGCAATAAAGTTTTTTCTAGGTATGTACACTTTGTAGACATGCTGTATTGTACACTTAACAGACTATAGTGTAAATATAACTTAAATACTCTGGGAACCAAAAAAATTCATTTGATTCCCTTTGTTGCAGTGGTCTGAACTGAAGCCTCAATATCTCCCAGGTTTACCTGTAGTTAAGGAAAGAGGCCTTAGACTGTGGTGGGAAAACTTGTTTTTAGGAGTCTCATAATCTGGTTATAATATCAGCTGTGTGACATTGGGCAAGTGACTTGATTCTGAGCCTCACATCTTCAGCCTCATCTGACAAGTGTAAATGAAAACAGCCATGCAGTAGTGTTAGGAAGATGAAAGATTGGCACAGTGCCGTTACCCTTGTTTAAGTCACTAACAACCCCAAATATGTAAAAGTTAAAAATAGTGTTTCCCCATCTCATAGCTGATTGATAACTGTTAAACATATGGGGTATGCTTCCAGAATTTTTCTCACTAGATACAAAAATAAACATCTGATTTGTTAATAATGAGCTCATGCCATAATATACAGAATTTTCTTTATGTATTTTTCAGTCATTACATTGTCATGGGCTGTCTTCCATCTGGGTATGTACATTGGCATGTACAACTTTCATTTTTTAGAAGCTACATAGCATTTCATGGTTCTCAACCACTGTCCTAGTAGGCACAGGTTATTTCTAGTTTTTACGCTATTACAAGCTGAACAAATTTAAGGAAGGTTCAGGAAGACCATTAGAGGGGCATTAGTTCAATGTCCTGTTTTCAAAGCAAGTTCTTATTTTATCATCTGATTTGGTTTTCACAGAAACCTTGCCCAGACCCCATTTACAACTAAGAAAGTGATTGTAAAGAGGGACAGATTTTCCAAGAATCCTCCCACAATTAGTGGCAGGGGGTCCCGGGACTGTCCCCTCCAGTTATACTTGTGGTACTTCTGGAGCAGGGGCTGCAAATGCCAGGCAGGTGATTGAAGTGTGTGAAAGAGGGCCAAACTAAGATGAAAATGAACTGTTGGCTTCAGTGTCAAAGCAAGAATGGGGTGGGGAAGAGGCAGAGATTGTGGGCGAAAGAGACAGTCTTGGTCTCTCAAGGCCAGACACTGACCACTTTCTGGTTGATGGGCAGAATCACAGGTCTGGGGTTGCTTGAGTATCCCATCTGCAAGAGAAGTAAGAAATGGAGAGTTTTGTATGGAATCTAACAAATGTAGGCAACCAACTTGGAAATCTTCACTCATTGCATGCCAGACTGTAACCTGTTTTCTCAGACTAAATTTCCTACTTTGACTATAAATCAGGGATCTTGATGTGAGGCATGACGCTGGTAGGTACCTGACACAGCAGGCTCTCGGTAAAAGCCCCTGGGCCTCTCCTCTTAAGTTCCACCCGGTGGAACTTAAGTGGCTCAGAAAAGACCATTTCATTTTGTGACTTGTCCTCCAAAACTTTGGGGGCCTTTTCTCCACCTTCAATGCTGGGCACTGGTGAGCAAGGCTTGACTCTGTCCACCCTCTCCTCAGCTGCTTGGTATGCATTTCCTCTGCCCATGTAGGCCAGACCTGTGGCATATGTCCCCAGTGAGCTTGAGTATCAGGTAAAAGACCACTGTGGTTCCTGACAGCGTGCCTCCAATACCCCTTAACTTCTGTCCCTTGCCTCTTTCCTGGGACAGTATCATAGTGAAGAGTGGGACTCCTAGAGTCCCATTGCTTGGAATCCAGTCCCTGCTCTGTAGGAAGCAGTGCAGTTTTGTGCAGAGCACCTTGTCTCTCTGCGCCTCAGTTTTCTTATCTGTAAAGTGTGGCAGATGCTTAGCTCAGTAAATGTTAGTCGTTACTGTTCTGTTGATCTCTCACTTTGCCAGGGGCTGTGCACATCCTAGTGGTACAAAGACAAGCCATAGCCCTTGCCTAAAGGAGCATGACCTTGACCTCACTGCCTGCAGTAGGCAGCAAAGAGCTGACTCTGGGGCACAGGAAGCCTGCCTTATCGACTTCCCAAGTTTGGGGATCATTTGAGTTCCCAGGTAACCAGAAGGCTGTGGTCCCAGACGCCTTTGGGGCAAAGATCCAGGCTGCCCATCTCCTTCCCTTTCTGACTCAAGGCGAAATTCTGTCTGGACTATTGAGTAAGAGAATCAGCTGGCTCTTCAGCACTTTCCCTTTGGGCCCAGCTTCCTTCTCCGCGGGATGTTAACTTCAACCTAGAATCCACCTTCCCAGGTAAGAGAAAGATCACAACCAACTCTCCTATGCCAGTGGCTCTCCCTCTCTCCCCTTCTTTCTCAGTATTGTGAGGTCCAGGTTTAAGACCACTTTCCCCTGGGGAGTCCTGGTGGCCTTGTCTGGTCCCATAGGCCTTATATATATTCTACCTCTGCTGAGCCATGACTGTGGGGCTTGGACCCCTAAGCTCTCTCTTTACCCCTACCCTGCTGCTCCTAGATTGTCCCTCTCTGGATCCATTTTGCTTGCTGTAAACAGGAGGTCATGCTCAGTTTCCCCAAGATTAAGTAGGACATGGCAGATGAGCTGCTAAGCCTATAGCCATTTCTCTAAATTGTGAAATTAAAGTTCTGTTCCTTCCCCCCCACCCCACCCCCACCCAGAGGGATGGCCATTATTTGCTCTGGGGTTACAGTCAGTGGTAAATGAGGTTAAGTCCATGCCCACACATTTTGAGTGGGGGAAAGCAGACATTAAGCAAATAACCTAATTAATGAATATAAGATTATAGAGATAAATTTATGTCAGAATGGAGTATAATTGCCTATAAGAGTATAATAAGCTGATTCATCCTAACTAGGACTTAACTAGGTAGAATGTCAGGGTAGGAAGGAGAAAAGGAATCAAGAGGTACAAAAGCCGTGGGGCAAACAGGTTGGCAGTTCCTCCAAAGTTGAATATGGAGTTGCCATATGACCCAGCCATCTCACTCGTAAGGTGTATACCCAAGAAAAATAAAAACGTATCTATATGAAAACTTGTACATGAATGTTTATAGCATCATTATTCATAATGGCCCCAAAGTGAGACAACCCAAGTGTCCATCAGCTGGTACATCTGTACCAAGAATACTGTTCAGCCATCAAAAGGGATGGCATGCTGACACCTGCTACAATATGGATGAACCTTGAATCTCTGTGCTTAAGTGAAGGAAGCCTGTCACAAAAACACATATATCCTATGATTCTGTTTATATGAAATGGGAGGAATAGGCAAATCCACAGAACATAGATTGTGGTTGTGGAGTATGTAGTTTGCTCAGGCAGCCATAACAGTGCCACAGCCTGGGAGGCTTCAACAACAGGAATTAATTTTCTCACTGTTTTGGAGACCAGAAGTCAAGAGGTCAAGGTGTTGGCAGGCTCAGCTCCTTCTGAGGCCACTCTGACCTGTAGGTGGCTGTGGTCATCCTTTGTCTTCATGTGGCCTTCCCTCTGGGTGTGTCCTGATCTCTTCTTGTGACCTTAGAGTAGGATTCCCTCTAATGACTTCATTTTACCTCTTTAAAAATAGTGTCTCTAAAAAATAACCCCAGCCAAGGTACTGGGGGTTAAGATTTCAACATTTGAATGGGGTGAGGACACAACTCAGCCATAGAACAGGGCGAATGGGGAGTGACCACTCATGAGTATGGGACTTCTTCCTAGGGTGGTAAAAATGTTCTGGAATTAGTGGTGGTCAGTGTGCAAATTTGTGAATATACTATAACCACTTTCCACTCCGAAAGGATGGACTTTGCCCTGGGGCAAGAGGGAGCCAGATCTGCAGAGAGAGGAGAAAAGTGGGAGACAAGATGGAGGGGTTGGTAGGGGCCCCATTATCCAGCCTAGTGTGCTTCAGGTGTCTGCTCCCTACCCAAGACTTTGCCCATCTCCACAATGTCTGGCATTAAAGCTCATTATTAGGGACCCTTGCAAACTGGGATTGGGATTGAAATTGGGACACTTTTTAAACCTTCAAGGGCCACCTTCTGTCCCTATGGGCAGTTTGCCGTGAAGGAGACAGACCCAGCTTGGGATAACGTCTTGCTTATCAACACATGCCAGGCACTGTTCTAAGTTCTTGTCAACTGGTAAGCATTTAGTTCTAACAACCCAGTGAGGTGGATACTTACTCTCTTGCCCGAAGTCACACTGCCTATGCAGCTAATAAACAGCAGAGTCGGATTTCAGACCCTGGCTCAGGGGACCATACCATTACCCACTGTACTATATTGGGTAACATAACAACCCTGTAAGTTAAGAGTTTATTAACTTAGTATTATCCATATTTTACAGGTGGAGAACTGAGGCACAGAGAGGTTAGTGACTTGGCTTGGGTCATATTGTGAGTTAAGATGAGAAATTGGGAATGGTATGCGCATTTGCATAAAGAAACAACCTCAGTGCCTGGTGAATTACAAGAACCAGTCCTGGGGAGGGTGGGCCTGAGGGGTTGTTTGTGACCTGGGAGAACCAAGACTCAGGGCTGGGTACCTGCCCCAGCCTCATCCCTGCTTCCTTCCAACTCTCAGCTCACCCCTGGAGACGACTCCTTGGGAAGGCCACTGGGAGAGCCTGGTCTGCCAGGGGGGGTCCAGGGCCAGAGTCAGAGATGCTGAAGAAACACCCAAGGGGGTACTCAAGGGGCAAGGGGCCTGCATCCCTGGGACACCGCCTCCCAGTTTGGGGGTGGGTGCGGCAGAAGCCTGTGTGCCCTTGCGCCTGACATTCCTCAGCAGCCACGTGGCCCCAACTGGCAGGGACAGCTGCAGATGGGGGCTGAACCAGCTTTGTTCCCAGGGTGGCGCCTGCTCTCCATCCAGGCCCTGCTCGGCTCCTGCCCAGTGCTGCTTTTCTTCCCAGGGCTCAGTGGGCGCTGGCACTGTGGGTCCCCTGCCATGAGTGCCTAGAGGCACGGAGCCAGCAGGGTCTCTCAAAGGGGGGCGCAGTGCTCTGGGAGGATGGGGCAGGACCAGACAAAGCAGCAGATCGCGAAGGGGCTCCAGCTGTACCAGTCTAATCAGACAGAGAAGGCGCTACAGGTGTGGATGAAGGTTCTGGAGAAGAGCTCGGACCTTGTGGGGCGCTTCCGTGTGCTGGGCTGCCTGGTCACGGCCCACTCAGAGATGGGCCGCTACAAGGAGATGCTGAAGGTGGGGCGTCCAGCAGCTGCCATAGGAGGGTGGGACGGGGGCTAGATTTCTCCCAGGCGGCCCCCTCTTGCCTCCTCAGGTTCCCCTGTATCCCACAGGCTAGCAGCCAGGACCCAATGCTCTAAATCTACACCTATGCCCTGTGGCCTTGAACTTCAGTATCTGAGACTCTGAAACTGAGGTTTTCTCAGCCTCTGGGTTTGGGGATCTCGTGGTCATGTCTCCAGGTCTAGTTTCACCCTTTCTGTTTGTGTTTCTGAGTCTGAGCCTTGGGAGGCACTGGCTCCAGGTTTGGGGCAGAGGGTGGGTGGGGGATAGCGACAGCCAATCTAATCCGGGGGCAGAAAGGTGAAAACTGGGTCTGAGTTTAGGAGGTGGAGGCTCCAGGGCTAAGGCTTCTATGTGTGGGAGCAAACCGCATCTGAGGCTGGGGGCAAAAGCTGTGGGTCTGGAGCTCTGGGCATGAGGCTGGGAGGTGTGGATACTTGGATCTGAGACTCAGAGTCCAGGATGACAGCCACTGGCCTCCCACCTGGTGGGCAGTTTTCTGTGGTCCAGATTGACACTGCTCGAGAGCTGGAGGATGCCAGTTTCCTTCTGGAGAGCTACCTGAACCTGGCACGCAGCAATGAGAAGTTGTGTGAGTTTCACAAGACCATCTCCTACTGCAAGACCTGCCTGGGCCTGCCCAGCACCAGGGCGAGTGCCCAGCTCGGAGGCCAGGTTAGCTTGAGCATGGGCAACGCCTTCCTGGGCCTCAGCCTCTTCCAGAAGGCCCTGGAGAGCTTCGAGAAGGCCCTGCGTTATGCTCACAACAACGACGATGCCATGCTCGAGTGTCGCGTCTGCTGCAGCCTGGGCAGCTTCTACGTCCAGGTCAAGGTGGGCCCAGGCCCCAGGGGACAGGTGGGGGGGGGCTGCGCTCCTGTTGCATAACCTTATTCAGTCCTCCCAGTTAGGTAGGGACAAGTTGGAAGAGAATCTGAGAGGGAAGACTTACCCAGGAAAGTAAAGACTTAGCCAGGAAGGGCACAGCCAGAATTCAAATCTGGAACTGTCTGACTTCCTAGGGAAATGGGACACTCCTGCGTGAGGGCAGGCCATAAACCTGCACTGTCCCATGCTCGCTGTGTGGTCTTGGACACATCACTCTCCCCTTTGAACCTTGGAAGGTATTATCTATAAAATGAGGGAGTAGGACCCACCTTCCAGCACAGTTGTGAGGAGTCAATCATCAGATGTTTATTGAGCATCTACTATATGACAAGTGCTGCTGGCCTGGGATGCAGCAGTGAAAATAACAGCAAAGTCCCTGGCTGCATGAAGTGGATAGGGGAGAAAGACAATAAACACAATCAGTAAGTCAGTTACGTAGCATGCTAGAAAGTGCTTAGGAGAAAGGGAAGCAAGGAAATGGGGCTGAAAGCTGAGGATGAGGACGTCGCAATTTCAAAAGGGTGGTAGGAAGACCTCCGAGAGGTGAGATCAGTCTGATAACTTGAGGGAGGTGATAGGGTGAGCATTGCAGAAATCTGGCAAAAGAGGAAACAACTAGAACAAAGCTCTGCCCTGTGAGGAGTGTACCTGGCATGTTGCAGAAAGGATGGAGGCCAGCATGGCTGCAGCAGGTGTGCAAGAAGGTGGTGTCTGAGTTGTAAGGGGGAGGCAGGCTTCTGGTTCTGAGCGTTTACTCTCCTCCCCACTGTGCAGCCAGGCTGGATTTGTTAATTCCTGGTACAAATTAGATGATTGATAAATCTTGTGGTAAATGAGTGTGTAAATGCTGATGTATCAGAGTTGGGGTGTGAAGAAATGAGTCATCCGGGATGACACCGAGGTCTTTGTTTTTGGCAGCTAGCTGCCTGAGGAAGCCATTTGGTGAGATTCGATAGGATTCAGAGGGAGTGTTATAAAACCTTTATTATGAAGAAAAGTAACCATGCAGAAAGTAGAATTAATTATAATGAAGCTCCATATACCTACCACTTAGATTTAAAAAAATTTTTCCATGTTTGATTTACATATTTTTAACTGAAGCATTGTTTTATAAAATTACAGATGCCATGATATTTTGCCCCAAAGTAGTTCAGTATGCATCTCTGTAAAAGAGAGGATATTTTCTTATATAACACTTCCTTATATAATTGCAATACTATTACCATACTCACCATAATGAACAATTATCTCTTAAATCTCTCTACTTATTCTGAAAATACACCTTTACTCCTGGCTTGTTTGAATGGGAACACAAGCAAGAGGCACACACTGCAGTGCTCACCATGACTCTTAAGTGTCTGTCCATAGAAAATTCCAACTGCCGCCCTTTATTTTCCACAACTCATTGAGTAGGCCAGATTGATCAATTGATCACCTTGTAGAGTGTCCCATCTCATTGATTACTTCCCCAAGGAGCCATGTACCTTGTTTCTTTATCTCCTTTACTGCCTGTGAGCTAGGACATAGGTCGTGACCTGGTGAGGTTCAGGCGCACAGTAAGTTCTTTGGTAAGAACACTATATTAAGCAGTGCTCTGTGCTTCATACCACATCATATGGGAGGGCTGAGGAAGTGACAGCCTGACCCCTCCACTTTAGGGTCTGTGTTCCCCTCAGGACCAGCAGATTGCCTTGGGGGTGACACTTGGGTATTCTGTGAACATTCGGTTCTGCAGCAACATTTCTAACAGTTTCAGCATCCATTCAGGGTTGCTGCCTGAATCCATTTCTTTGATTTCAACTCTAAAGAAATGGCGACTTCCAAGTTCTATCATTCCTTTTACTAGTATTAGCTGGGGTGTTTCTGTAAGGAAGAACATTGACCAGTCAATTGGGCCTAGTTGGTTATTCTGAAATACAGTTGCAAAAGGAAAGGCAGAAAAAATACTTCCTCCCTTAACAACCATTTTTCACAATAAGGAGTTGATGTCATGCCTGCCTTCAGGGGTCGCACTTACTTGTTCTGCTTTCTTTTTTTGAAGTATGAAATCATGGATTTTGTAAGTATTCAGTATACTTCAGTCAATTGCAATACTGTTCTTTGTGATGTTCATACTATCTTAACTTTAGCTAATGGAATTCCTAGCAGTATTGCTCCTGTGTCCTTTTGACAAGACTTCATTTAGTCATTCAAAGTGCTTTTGTTTTCTGGTACGGTGAACTGTCCCAGGCTCATTTTGTATATTCCCTGCCCCCCCGACCTGGAGTCAGCCATTTCTCTGGATTCTTTGTAGTAGGAAATGGTCTTTAAAGTGTGATGTTCTCATTGCTAGTGGAATGTCATTGCTTCTAAATCTCAGTTGCCAAGACAACTGAAGTTTGTGCTGATGTTTCCAATTGAAGTTTAGTGTTTCAAAATTTTTCTTAATTTATTTTAAACTTGATTATTTTTTCTTAGATTGAAAAATCTTCGTTTCTAACAACATAATTACATGCTTACTTTATCCTACAAAACATAAAATTATTTCAAAAGGCAATACCATTATTATTCAAAAAAATAAAAATAAAAGGACAACCAAAGGAAATTTAAAATTTCTTTGCCATTCTTTTGCCTTTATAATATATCCCATTATAGGTGAACTGTCTGAGCATGTTCTAAAGTCATTTGAAATAATTTTTTTCCTATGTAGTTATATTAATATCATATAGTATTATATTAAATTAGATTATAATATCAATATATAATTCGATTGCATATAATTATAGTTATAATTAATTATAATATGATATGCAATTAGGGTTATCTATTTTCATTTTCTATTTTTAGGATTTTTTTAAATGCAATTTAACTTTTTGAAGCTGTAGAACACTTACATAGTTTCAAATTTAAAAATACATACCAAAAGTTTTTAGGAACAGGTCTTTTGGGGGTTATTGAGGGTTCTCTTTTTGTTTTAATAACTTGGAAGTGCTTGTTAGATATATGAAAGATCAGATGGGTTTTTATGGTAAAGAACAGAGAAATGGGACTGTAGCTGGAGGGAATATGAGATCAAAAGAAGGTTGTTTGATTTTGGTTTAGGTTTTTATTTGTTAAATGAGGTAAGAAATGCCAGAGTGTGTCTGTACACTGATGGGAATGGCTTCGTAGAAAGAGATGGGGGTGGAGCTTGTGCCAGAGCCCCACTCAGGGGCCCCCACTTGGTGGCAGCAGGGAGCTTCCTCCAGAGAAAGAGGCGGGGAGCACGAGTGGCCAGTTAGCGGATCTGACGATGAAGGCCTATGAGCTGCTGCTCTCAAGTTTCCTCATTATCCTAGTGGGGTGTGAGGCGAGGTGATTGGCTGATAATGGGCAGATAGAAAGGGCATTTGAAGGTGTGAGGAGAAAAAAAGGATGAGAGAATGCTTTAATTGCCTCAGTGAGTCTGTCCTGATGTTCTTTTGAGCCGACCACGCTGGCAGTGAGTCGCTGAGCCTTTGTGAGCAGCCGCTGCTGGCGGCCCGACTCTCGCGGGAATGGGGTGGGGCTCCGGTGTCTCCTTCCTCCACCCTGTTCTGCGTGTCTCTGAAGCTGAGGGACCCAACTGGGACTGGGTGAGAAGGAAAGCCAACGGTATTTTCCTGCCTTCTCATTCACTCATTCTAAAACAATTTATCGCGTATCTACTAGGAGCCAAGAACTTTGCCAGGCTCTTGGGATACATTGGCAAAGCAGATAATGATCCCTGCACTCATGGGGCCCATACCTTTGTGCTGGCTGTTCCCTCGCCTGCATCACTCTTTCTCTGGATCTGAGAAGGGATAAATGAACACCAACTGGGACCTGTGGGCACCCCTGGTTGCTGGTGAAGCCAGGCCCTGGAGCCCTCAACATTGGGGCAGCTCCTGCCACTCATTGTGACCCTTCCCATTCCCACCCCCTCCATGTGTCCCCTGCAGGACTACGAGAAAGCCCTGTTCTTCCCATGCAAGGCCGCAGAGCTCGTTAACGACTATGGCAAAGGCTGGAGCCTCAAGTACCGGGCCATGAGCCAGTACCACATGGCTGTGGCATATCGCCTGCTGGGCCACCTGGGCAGTGCCATGGAGTGTTGTGAGGTGGGGCAGCAAGAAAGGCAGGCAGATGGTGTGGGCAAGGGTATCCTCCTTCCATATCAGCCCACTGAGCTCCCAAGGTTTGCCCCTGCCTTAGCCTCTCTGATGGATGTAGCTGACTCTCTGATGGATGTGTTCTCCCTTCCCCCCACCCCAAACCTCACTGCCTTCCAGTCCATTCTCAGGGGAGGGGACTTCCCTCTGCACCCCACATAGCCTCTGTAGGCACTTTAAGTAGGAAAAGAGACAGTCCCTGGAGTTCCACTGACCTGGGTTCAAATCCCAGCTTTGCCACCTACTAACCAAGTGACCTTGATCAAGTCACTTCTCTCTGAGTCTGTTTCTGCTTCATTGGTTGCGAGGCCTTAATTGGCAGTGGGGGGCGGGGTTCATGGGACCTCAGCACCATGCTAGGTATATTGGACTCTGAGGATATTGGCAATCCCTGGGTGGCCCCATAAGTGAAGCCCACTGGGTGACGGGGGCCCTGTGGTTGGGAGCAGATGAGCAAGCCTGAATGACCAGCCTCCCTTGCAGGAGTCTATGAAAATTGCACTGCAGCATGGGGACCGGCCACTACAGGCACTCTGCCTGCTCTGCTTTGCTGACATCCACCGGAGTCGTGGGGACCTTGAGGTGAGGTCACTGGGATGTGGTGGAGGGTTTGCAGGCCTGGCTCGGCCTGACTCCGCTCTCCACTTGGCTGTGCAGACAGCCTTCCCCAGGTACGACTCTGCCATGAGCCTCATGTCCGAAATCGGAAACCGCCTGGGGCAGGTGCAGGTGCTGCTGGGTGTGGCCAAATGCTGGGTGGCTAGGAAGGTACTGGACAAGGTAAGGTCTGGCCCTGCCCTTCAGCCCCTAGCTCTCAGCCAGCAGTCTGTGGGTTGGGTCCTGGGCAGGACTCTTGCCCTGGGCTGGATACTTTGTCTAACATCAGCCTCACCCCAATCCTGTGACGCTAGGACATCCCAAGGCATTTTTCAGACTCAGAGAAGGCCAATGTCTTGTCCAGACCCATAACTAGTAGAGGGCCAGAGCTGGGGTTTGAATTCATGATGTTTAACTGCTTCCCAGAATTTCACAGTGACAAGATAGAAATATTCTTCTCATTCTATATCTGACTAAACTGAGGCAGGAAGCACTTCTCCACATAGATCTTATGACTGCACCAGGCTCTTTTCTGCTACCTTCACACACAGGGCAGCTGCCCAGCCACGTCACCCTCCCCAGACCCACCGCTCCCTACCCCTTCCTTTCCCGTGAGCCACGGCTTCTGTCAGAGAGCTCTGTCTGTAGCCCTGGCTTTTGCTCACCTCCCAGGCTCTGGATGCTGTCGAGAGAGCCCAGGACCTGGCTGAGGAGGTGGGGAACAAGGTCAGACTGAATTCTGTCTTCTGGGTCTGGAGTCAAGAGCCCAATGTGGGATCCTGGGTGGGTTGGAAGGACGCCCTGAGCCCTCCCATCCCCTGATCTCCAGGACCTTCCTCCAGCCATCCCTAGACCCTGGCTGCTTCTCTTCCACTGAGAGAGCGTATCAGGGGCAAGAGAGAACCCTGTAGCTTGGAGGATACCAGAATTCCCCAGAGGCTTCTTGATGGTCACTAAAACTCTTAACAGTGGCTTCTACTCACTGAGAGCTGGGCACACAGGGTTTAGGTATTGGTTCCAGTCCTCACTATTTCCCTGCAAGGTAGGTAACTGCAAACCCCATTTTGCAGATGAGAAAAATGGGGCTCAGAGGTGCCCAAGGTCCCACACCTGGTAATGGTCTGTCTTAACTCCAAAGCTTCTGTGCCTTCTGTAGTATATGTGGCCTCTCCAAATTTAATAATCATATCCAAATCTTTAAATGTTGAAAATAGGCTCAGTGTTTTTCATAGTCTTCTAGAAGATATGAATTTCTCTGGGATCAGGTGCACAGTCCAAATAAAATGCCAAATATGCTTGGATTTGGCTAGATTATAGCCACTCAGGTTTACCCAGGTATCTCAGGCTGGCCAGAAATACTGATGAGCTGTTGTGTGTATTTAATTAACAAAGACAAGAAAGCAGGGAAGTTCATGGAGCAGGTTTGGTCAGTGAAATATTTCAAAAGCCTGGGGTTCCCAGCCAGTTTGGGGAGAGGACCACTCACCTCACTGACCTTGTTCTGCCCAAGGGGAAACCAGGGCCCAGAGAGGCAGGATGTTTTTTTTAGGTCCCTCAGCAAGACAGGAACGCAACCAGGACTGGACCCTGAGTGTATTGTCTGCCCAGTGGCCCCTCGGGGCAGCCTCTGGGCTGAGCAAGGAGGGAAGCAGGGCAGCTGCTCACCAACACTGGCTTGGCCTTGTCTCCTATGCCTGCACTGCTGTCCTGCTGGCTCCAGCTGAGCCAGCTCAAGCTGCACTGCCTGAGCGAGAGCATCTACCGCAGCAAGGGGTTGCAGCGGGAGCTGCGTGCCCATGTCGTGCGCTTCCACGAGTGTGTGGAGGAGACAGAGCTCTACTGCGGCCTGTGCGGCGAGTCCATAGGTGAGAGGAATAGCCGGCTGCAAGCCCTGCCCTGCTCTCACATCTTTCACCACAGGTGAGGGCTTCTGGCAGGCAGGCAGGGGCCATAAGGTCTCTTTGGAACACTCTGGGGCTCCAGCTGGCCTAACCACAATACAGATACTAACAGCTAACATACATATTGCTTTCTGCATCCCAAGAATGTTCTAAGAGCTTTCCACCTATTAACTTGTCAAACCCTCCAGCAGCCCTATGAGGTGGCTGTTCTTCTTCTCCCCGAAGAGAACACAGAGGCCTCTCAAAGGTCATGGGATTCGGACATCCAGAGCCAGACCTGCCTCAGGGCTGTGACCAGTACCAGCCTCCGACCTCCTGACTCCCTGGCTAGGCTCTGTCCTGGAAGTCCCTGGGGCAGAAAGTGAGGGGCAAGCTGGCTGTCCACAGGCACCCGGGGGCCCAACCCCTTCTCTTGACACTGTCCCAGCCCCTGCAGAGGGTAGAGAAGGGGAGAGAGTGAGATCCAGGGTGGGCTCAGTGAGTGACAGAGCTCTTTGCCTTTCAAGGTGCTTGCAGAACAATGGAACGTGGAGCTGCCCCAACTGCCACCATTCATCCATGAAGCCTGGCTTTGTGTGACTCCAGTCAACTTCCGCCTCACCTTTCCTGGCTCCTTCTCTACCATCACACTGGAGGCCCCTGACTGGCCATGCCGCAGAGGCCTGTTTACTTTTGGTGCAGCCACCAATGCCTCTTGGGGCCTTAGCCAGTACCTGGAACCTGCCTACTGCTGCTCCACAAGGCCCAGCTGCTCTCCCCTGCTCCTTTGTACTTTGCTCTTTATGGAAAAATAAACTGTACTTGGTCCCAGTGATTCTGCTCTTCCTGCCAAACTTCTGAGGGGGTAGGGGAAAGTGGGAGTGAGGTTCCTCATGTGAACTTCCTCAGATACAAGTAGTCCCTCCACATGTGTGAATGTCTCCAGCTACCCTTCCAGGTTTGTGAGATGCCACAGTGAGCCAGAGACAAAGACTCCTGCTGGTGGGGAGCTGATACGCAGGGGTGGGGAGGGAGGATGCACTAAACAGTAAACAGAATAAATAAGCAAAATAACAAATCTGTCAGATACTGTAGACTGAATTATGTCTCCCAAGATTCGTATGTCAAAGCCCTAACCCCCAGTGTAACTGTATTTGGAGATAGGACCTTCAAGGCGGTAATTAAGGTTCAATCACGTAATAAGGGTGGGGCCCTGATTAGTTAGGTCTAGTGTCCTTATAAGAAGAGGAAGAGACACATGAGTAACTTCTTCATGAACATATCTCCCTGGGCAAGGAAAACAAAAGCAAAAATGAACAAGTGGGACTATATCAAGCTGAAAAGCTTCTGTACACAAAGGACACCAACAACAGAACAAAAAGGTATCCTACAGTATGGGAGAATATATTCATAAATGACAGATCCGATAAAGGGTTGACATCCAAAATATATAAAGAGCTCATGTACCTCAACAAACAAAAATCAAATAATCCAATTAAAAAATGGGCAGAGGACCTGAATAGACAGCTCTCCGAAGAAATTCAGATGGCCAACAGACACATGAAAAGATGCTCCACATCGCTTGTCATCAGATAAATGCAAATTAAAACCACAATGAGATATCACCTCACACCAGTAAGGATCACCATCATTGAAAAGACAGACAACAACAAATGTTGACAAGGTGGTGGAGAAAGGGGAACCCTCCTACACTACTGGTGGGAATGTAAACTAGTTCAACTATTGTGGAAAGCAGTATGGAGGTTCCTCAAAATGCTCAAAATAGAAATACCATTTGACCCAGGAATTCCACTTCTAGGAATTTACCCTAAGAATGCAGCACTCCAGTTTGAAAAAGGCAGATGCACCCCTATGTTTATCGCTGCACCATTTACAATAGCCTAGATATGGAAGCAACCTAAATGTCCATCAGTAGATGAATGGATAAAGATGTGGTACACATACACAATGGAATATTAGCCATTAGAAAAAAACAGATCCTACCATTTGCAACAACATGGACAGAGCTAGAGGGTATTATGCTCAGTGAAAAAAGCCAGGCGGAGAAAGACAAGTACCAATGATTTCATTCATATGTGGAGATAAGAAGAAAGCAAAACTGAAGGAACAAAACAGCAGCAGAATCACAGAACCCAAGAATGGACTAATAGTTACCAAAGGGAAAGGGACTGGGGAGGATGGGTTGGAAGGGAGGGATAAGGGCAGGGAAAAAGATAGAGGGCATTATGATTAGCATGTATAGTGCATGGGGGGCACGGGGAGGGCTGTGCAATACAGAGAAGACAAGTAGTGGTTTTACAGTATCTTGATCCGCTGATGGACAGTGACTATGAAGGGGTATGTGGAGGGGACTTGGTGAAGGGGGAAGCCTAGTAAACAGTGTTCTTCATGTAATTGTAGATTAATGACACCAAAAGAAAAAAAAGAAGAGGTTGATATGCATTTATATCTTGAATAAATAAAACTTTTGAAAAAAAAAAAAGAGGAAGAGACACCAGAGAGCTTTCTCTCTCTCTACTGCACAGAGAAAAAATCATTTAAGGACATAATAAAAAGGTGCCATCTGCAAGCCAGGTAGAGGCCTCACCAGGAACTGAATTTTCCAGCACCTTATTCTTGGACTTCCCAGCCACCAGCAATGTGAGGAAATATATTTCTGTTGTTTAGACCATCCAGTCTGTGGTATTTTGTTAACGGCAAAACTAATGGGATAAAGTAGCAGACTAATACAAAGGTGGTAAGTGCTTTGGAACAATGAAGAATAGAGCAGCATTCTTCACCTTCATCCACTTCTTTCAGCCCATTAGGTGAGACAGAGTAAGACAGGCAGCCATGTGTAGGGTGGCCTGGTGTAGGGTGTTCAAACCCAAGGTGAATAAGGAAGATGTCTACACAGGGTAAGCCCCAGGGTTGGTGGGAGGGTAGAGCCTGTATGGAGACAGAGGGCATCCACACATGTGGAGACCTCATCCTGGATTGTCAGAGCCCAAGTAGGGTGAGAAAACAGTTCACGTGAAGGCAAGGCCTGGTGCTGGGTATTGGAGCCAAGCAAGGTGAGGACATCTACGTAGTTGGGTGGTCTGGGAGCTAGAGCCTAAGCAGAGCAAGGAGGGTGTGTAAGCATAGAGCAGCCTGGTTCAGTGTATCAGAGCCAGAGCATAGTGATGGTACCCTGGAGGAGAAAGGCCTAGCATGGGGAGCCAGAGCCTGAGCATAGTGGAGAGGGTATCCATATGGTGGGGTAGGGTGGGGGAACCCCGTGCAGTGTGTCAGAGACCAAGCCAAGTAAGGAGGAGCAGCCTGGGCATGGGTCATTGGGGCGTAAGTAGGGTGAGGAGGCATTCAAGTTGAGTATGGTCAGGTGTGAGGTGTCAGAGCTTGAGTATAATGAATAGGGCATGTGTGTTTGGCCTTCAAACCAAGATGGGGTGAAGGATCAGTGCATGGAAGGGAGTGGCAATGTGAAATTACACAGAGGGGAAATTGATCAAATAAGTAAACATATTAAGGGCAATGGGAACCAGGTTTCCATTTAAAAAGGGAGTTACAAATAGGGAAATGGAAGAAATCAGAAGGGACCCTGTAGTATTGAATTGGAATTGTAGGGATAAGTGTAAACTCATGGGTTTCAAAATATATATGTAAATAGAGAAATAGATAGGTGTGTGTGTATGTGTACTAGCCTGGGAGCAGTGATATGCCAATAGCATGAGCACATCTAGTACCCAGATCTTGGCTTCTGAATACCATGTCCCACTAAAAGGAATTAAGTCTCTTTGGAGAGATACCTGATTCTAGGCGTGGACCAGGGAAAGTACAAAATGAGTCTGGACTATCTTGGGTCAGAAAGCAAAGAAAGGTTTAAGAATGATGAAGATAACTCAAAGGACACAAAAGCGAACTTGAATGGCCTCCCAAGTGTCAATAATACCTATCTTAGCTCAGGCTATTACAGAATACAATAGACTGGGTGGCTGAAACAACTGAAATTAATTTTCTTACAGTACTGGAGATTGGAAGTGCAAGATCAAGGTGCCAGGAGGGTCGGTGTCTAGTGAGGGCTCCCTCCTTGGCTTGCGGACGGCTGCCTTCTCACTGCATACTCAGGTGGCCTTTCCTCTGCTTTGGGAAGAGAGAGATCTTCCTTCCTCTTTAAAGGCTACTAATCCCATCTTGAGGGCCCCACTGTCATGGTTTAATCTAACCCAAATCACCTCCTATAGGTCCTATGTCCAAATACCATCATATTGGGGAGTAGGGCTTTGCCATATCAATTTAGTGGAAACAAAAATTCACTCTATAGCAATGATACTAACATATTTTATTGAATAAAATACGAATCCCTACTGATGTAAGTAAATAAATGAATACATTAAAATTTTAATGAAGAATGGGATATTTACATAGTTCCAAACTCAGAAAATAATTATTAATTTAAGGGGGAAAAAGAGTAACTTCACAGTGGAGAAGGTTGACAGGTCCCTAGCTTAATCAAGTGAGAAGGCTTAACATCTGTAGTAATGAGCCAAAACAAAGCCAGGTGCTTCCTGAATGAATGTAACGAGAAACTCCTCGTCTCTTTTGCAATATTCCTGCCAAAGACAGATAACCTGAATCTAAAATCCTGAGGGAACAACGGATAAACATAGATTTAGAAACATTCTACAAAGTAACTATAATTTTTGAAAGTGTGAAAGTCATGAAGCCAAGGGAAAACAGAGAATCTTCCATATTGGAAGAGACTAAACCACTACAACTAAATACAATGTTCCTGAACTGGATCCCTTTACTGTAAAGGACTTTATTGGGATAACTGGTGAAATTTGAATGGGGTCTGAGGATGAGAAGGCAGAAACATATCAATGTTAACTTCCTGATGATAAAAGTTGTGTTGTGGTTAAGTAGGAAAATGTCCTTGTTTGTAGGAAATTCCCACCAAAATATTTGAGATGATGTAACGGGGCAGCAATTAACTCTCAAATGGTGCAAGGAAATAAAAAATTATTTGTATTTTGTTTGCTACTTTTCTCTAAGTTTGAGATTGTTTTCAAAATTAAAATATGTAATTAAAAAAAGATAGTGTAAGGTAAGGGGACCAGGGGCTTGGGGAAGGCTGGAGGAGCAGGTTGTAAGGGTGGGCCTCAGTGAGAAGAAGGCATTTGAGCAAAAACTTGTTAGAAGTGAGGGAGTGAACCAAGCAAATATCCTGGAAAGAGCATTCCAGGAGAAGGAATCACAGTTCTAGATAGCAGCTGAGCTGGCCTGGCCTGGCCTGGCCTGGCCACCAAGCTGCAAGGAGAAAGACTGCTGGAGCTGAAGTCCTGGAGCAAACTATGGGGGTGGTGGTGAGAACATTCAGGGCACCCTGGGCTGTCGTTGGGAGGTTTAAGTGAGATGGACAGCCACTGCAGGGTTTTGAGCATAGGAGTGACATGATCTAACTAGGTTTTGAAATAATTCCTTTGGTTGCTGCATTCTATGTAAGACAACTGGCCTGGTTGCTTAAAAAATGTCAATTTCATAAAAGACAAAAAAGGTTGAGGGACTGTTCTAGATTGGAGTGGGCTGAAGAGACATGATACCTGAATGCAATGTGTGATTCTCGACGTGACACTGGGTGTGTTTTTTTTTTTTACTAAGGTATCATTGATATACACTCTTATGAAGGTTTTACATGAAAAACATTGTGGTTATTACATTCATCCTTATTATCAAGTCCCCCCCATACCCCACTGCAGTCAACTGTCCATCAGTGTAGGAAGATGTCACAGATTCACTATTTGCCTTCTCTGAGTTACACTGTTTTCCCCATGACCCCCCACACCATGTGGGCTAAACATAATACCCCTCAATCCCCTTCTCCCTCCCTCCCCACCCACCCTCCCACACTCCTCCCCTTTGGTAATCACTAGTCCCTTCTTGGAGTCTGACACTGGGCTTTTTGCTAAAGGCTACAAGGGACATATTAGGAATGATAGAAGGAAATTTAATATGGACTGTATATTAAATATTACCACATATTAAATTCTTAGGTATGATAGTGTATTATACTGTACTGTAGTTACATATGAGAATATTCTTAGGAGATGGTGAAATATTTAGAGTTGAAGTATGATATTGGCAACTTATTTTGAAATAGCTCCAACAAAAAAGTATGTGTACAT